AAGAGAAAAAAAAAAAATATATATATATATATCTTTTGCTTATATATTAGGGTTCCCAGTTTTGTGTTTTTATGGGATTTCTGGATATGTCTATGTGTCCGTGTTTTTTGTGCTTTTTATTTTTTATTTTTTGGCTTTTTGTTTGTTTTCTCCTATACTTTGTTTTTATCTTACCTCATTTTGTTTATTCATTTATTTTAGATGCCTGTTTATTTTCTGGTGAAAAAGAGAAAGGGTATGGATTTGGATGGGTGTGGAGGATCTGGGAAGAGCTGAGGGGGGGGGGAAACTGTAATCAGAATATACTGCAAATTTTCAAAAAACAAAAAATGAAAAAGAACAATAAAAATTTGAGATATTACTTTCGTCATGTAGCATTTTTAAAATTTATTTTAATTGTTCTCAATTTTCAGTGTTTTCTTTCCTTGTTTTATCTTTTTACATCTTCATCAGCCTCTTCAATTTTAAGATTTAAAAAACTTCCAACTTTATTATTTGTCCGTGGAGACACATGGCATGGCATAGCATGTGAAGGTCATAGGACAACTGTGTGAAGCTGGGTTCTCTACTTTCACCTACCCTTATCTTCCAGGGAGCAAACCAGGCCATGAGGCTTTCCAAGCCAGAGCCTTGTCTCCTTCTCCTGCTGAACCTGACCTCTTTAACTCTTTCATTTTGCCCACATCTTTCAACTTCTCTTCTTATAATTCCTACTGACCTGAGAGCTATTTGGCTTTAATGTTATTTTTATTTCCAGCAGCAAATATTTTCACTACTCTCAGGTTTCTTCCTGAAAATTTTAAAACATGGGTTGGTACATGAGTGTCCTCATATGCAATCTCTGATGAAAAGAATAGGAACTCCATTCACTTGATAATTTAAAAGATCTGAGGGTTATTAACTCACAAAGTTAACTGTCCAAAATGAGAGCTAATATTACAAATACACCAGTTCTAAAGATATTACTGGCTTCATCATACCAAAAAACAAAAAAGACAAAAAACCTCTATACATATTTCACAAAACATCTTCTAATTTCAGTAAATGCAGGCAAATAAAATCGAATTAATAATTTCCCACTTCTTTCCTCTTCACAAACATTACTAGTAGTTTAAAGAACTGACTGATGAATATCAAAGTAATTTTAAGTATGATTTTAAAAAGAAAGCACGTAAATGTCAAACGAACATAAGAGGGTAAAAAATTTCAAAACACATTTTATAATATATACTGAAACTAGCAATTTCAAAGGGGGTATGAAGTAATGGTATTAAAATGCATGGTTAGTTCATCCTTGAACATAAAATAATTTCAACCAATAATCAAAATTCAAACATAAAATCTACATGAAAATGTGGCTATCTATTAGGAAAATAGTCTGAGTAACAGCACTGGTATAAAAATGTCAAAATTTATAGAAGAAAAAAAGAAAACAGACTTATAACAACTTATAGGGGCTCAGAGACAGCTGCTGGTTAAGAGCCAGCACCGGCTGCTTTACAAAGAACCCAGTTGTCAGCACCCACACAGTGGCTTACAACTCTAAATCTAGTTCCAGGGGATCCAACACCTTCTTCTGGCCTCCACAGGTAGCAGGTATACACATGAAGCACATACATACTATAGGCAAAATGCTCAGACACAAAAAATAAAAATAAATACTAAATAAAAGAAAGTTGAAGAATATAAATGATCTAGAAGATATATAGTCATTAAAACTAATGAATAAAATAATCAATTTAGAATAGTAAGTCCTATTAGTAATCTAAAAGTTCGACAAGTATTTTCATACCTAACTTCTTTGATACTTAATGTAAAAGTAGCATTCCATTTTTTGGAGTATTTTGTTGTGTTTTTGAGACAAGATTTTACTGTGTGGCCTAGGCTAGCTTCAAACTCTAAGACCCTCCTCCCTTAGCCTCCCAGTGCTGAGGTCACAAGTGTGAGATGCTACAGTGACAGCTATGCTTTCTGGAAAGAGCATCATCACAGCAGGCAGTAGGACCCTTTCACAATAAGAGAAGTCAAGGGCATAACAGTACGTTTAATAAGACATCAGTTTAAGTAAAAATCAAGATTATAAAAAAATGTTGTATAAGCATACACAATCTCAGGAAGGACCATCAAAAATAGACCTTCGGGTGTTTCTTAAGTACAGGAATTTAAAAAAAAAGTTAAGCTTTTATTTTACAACTTTTACATAGCATAAGTATTTTAATAATGTTCAGTTATTTGTTTTAAAGAATTCTAAATAAGAAAGTTTAAACACTCCATAAATATCTGGTGTGTGTGTGTCTTTAAAACAGGGTCTTGTTCTATAGTCAAGAAAGATACAGAGTTAAGGATATTCCTTGTATCAACCCTAAGCGCTTGGATTATAGGACTATATCACCATGTCTAGCAAACATTTGCTTTTGATTATAACAAACATATGGCAAGTTTTATAAGACAGGCTGGAACTTAAGCAAATAACTATTAAGCTTTACTGATTGAGAAATTCAACTTTCTCCATGTACACTACACACAAAAGTTCCTTTTTACAAGTAAAGGAGTACTGCTTTTCTCTTCATATATTCCTAATCCATTCACCTAATGAGCAAACAAACAAACACCTCTCAAAGAAAACACTGTTCCTTAAAGTATTTCACCCAGGTATCACAAGGCCAAAGAACAAGATTTTTATATGGACTGGATTAGGGCAATAATGGATTAGGCTCCATAAGAAAGATAAAAACCTCACAAACTAGATCTACCCATAAATAATTTTTAAAGTCATCACAGTGCAAGCATGCCTGCCTGGTGTCTCAGGTTTGTCATCCTAGCTATTCATAAGGCTGATGCTGGAGAGTTCAAACTGAGAGCCTGCCTGGCTATCTTTGTGAGACTCTATCACTACACAAATATGTAAGAGATCTAAGGGACAGCTCAGTGGTAGAGGATCTGAAGCTCTGAGTTCAATCCTCACTATCACACATGCATACAAATCATGACTCTTCAAGTCTAGATTTGTTGTTATGTGAGTATGATCCCATAATAAGGCTAAAAATAACAATGGACACTTATTTAACAAAGAATGTTAGTATTAATTTATTTTAAAAAACTTAAACTACCTATTTGTAAATTTCTCCCTGAAAAGTTTTTGTATTCATTTATATTTTATAATCTCCTTGAAATACATACTAAAAGACCATGAGGCCTAAAAGCAAGGAACACAATGAAGTTGAAAGCAACCACAAAAATAAATGCTAGTATTTCTTCCTGTATCTATTTATTGTATCTAAAGACCAACTTTATGACTTTCTTTTTCACTATTGTTTAGCCCAGTGAATCTAGCCATTTTGCATACAAAATACAACTGTATCAAAGATATCTGCAATTACCTATGTTTCCCCCAAGCAGACGCAATGAATGTGCTTATTAATATTTCTTTCTCACAAATACAGAGTTAGCACAGTCTATAGTGCAAAATAGAATAACTACATTTAAATCCACTATGGGAATACTTCTACTTAGGAAACAAAAAAATAAAATTTAAATCCTATTTTAATAATCAATACTGCAATTAATATGTAAAAAAGGGGAATGGGAAAGGATTATAGAAAGATTCTCTAAGATTATGAAGAATATTCCCACTCATTAGTCTGTTCACACAAATAATGACCAAAAAAAAAAGAAAAAGAAAAAAAGGAAAGATAGATTGTCAAACACTTCCAAACAATTCCTGTTTTACTAATTTGATGTTCAATTAAGATTTTGTTTTCTAACTTGAATACAAAAGAGAGTAGTGCATTGAACATACAAGAAAGATGGAAAAGTACTGCAAGATTTTTCGTGAATGCACAACATCAACAATATATAAGTCAAATGTAGACAGTAACAGGATTCCAAGAGCATCTTTTACTTTATAAGCAACTTTATCATAAGAAAACTAGACCTTTGAGTGGACCAATAAAATATGAATTGTTTTTGTCTTAGCATATCTATTTTTAGATTTTATACCATGACCCTCTTAGCTAATCCCTATTTAATTATCCTGCCATAGGTAATATTTCTTTTGCTTTGATTACAAATGTCTATGGCACACTGACCACACTCAACCAATAAGCCTTTTTAATGTGTTATAATAACATACTTTGATCCCAAGAAATTGAGTTAGATGCTTAAAAAAATCAATTGTCAGTTTTCCAAACCAGTCTATGCCAATGTGCTTGTTCTTACATAATGCAATATTATTTATGTTAACAATATTTAAGTCATGGATCACACACTGTATGAAGAGAAAGTTGTATTTATGGAAACTAAGAATGGCTCAACAAAAGTGAGGTACTCTTTGAAAGGTATTAAAAGAAGGTAACATAACTCAAATATACCAAAGGAAATCTTAAATTTTATTAAGAGCTTATACTTCTTTTTTAAAAGTATTTATTCCAGCAGGGGGTAGTGGCACATGACTATAGTTCCAGCATTTGGGAGTTCAAGGACAGCCTGGTCTACAGAGTGAGTTCCAGGACAGCTAGGGCTACACAGAGAAATCCTGTCTCAAAAAACAAAACAAAACAAAACAATCCAAAAAACGTTTATCTCCCACCCCTTTAAGGAAACTGAACTGCAGGCCATTCATTATGCACACAGTTAATACAGAACTCTCAACTCTATAGTATCTGTGTGAAAAAGCTGGCAAATGAATATGTGCTTTGCTAAATAATTTAAATAAACAGTTATTTTCTAATTTAACTTCTTAAATAACCTACAAATTGTCCCAATTTCATTAGTTATGAAGTAATCTACTACCCTTTTTGTTCCAAAACACTTAAACTGGTTTGAAAGACAACTGAATGAACCCTTTATGTTTATACAAAATAGGAGTACACAGTAGTACACTCCAGAAGGGCAATGGGTTTCACAGCACCCAAAGCAGTTCTGATACACACTGATACCTGGCGAATACTTACTGAATCAGGACAGGTACTCACCGTGATCACAGCCTTGCTAAGACAGATGGATCCCCTACAGCCATATTCCGTTTCATCTTCAGATTTGTAGTAACTCAAAGTATTATTTTTCAAAACTACCCAACGATCCTGCCATCCATGAATATAGTTTGTCCACTAGGGAGAGAAAGAAGAAAAGGAAAAGGGAAAAAAAATAAAGTCAGTATTTTAGAAATTGAAACTTACCAAAATTTTAACGCAAAACTTTTGAAAAAGGCATTATCAATTATAATAAACAGTAAAATGATTAAATAGTTAAAAAAATTAAGATGTTTCTAGTATATAATGACCTTTAGTAATTTTACTTTAATAGCTAGAAAACAAAAAATGTAACATTTTCTTATACAGTTATAATGTTCTGCCATGATCTTTGCATAATGACATTTAAATTGTTTTGGTCCCTGTATAAAGTAACATGCTGAACAAATCAGTTCTATAGTCTCTCTACTACACCACATACTCTAAAAGTCTCCTAAAGAAATATACTCCAGTCACCAAAATTCTACTCTTGTTGTAAGCTAGTCCCATATGAAAATAGTATAATGGTCATAACTACATCAAAGGGAAAATTCTAGATCATTAATCTTTATTAGGCTCACATTAGTTTTAACTCTTCCTCTATAGAACGGATGACTGCATGTTTAAAATGATTAGCTCACTTACAAATAGTTATATTATTCTAACCCAGAAATATTAATACAAATATGATTTTCGAAGACATTGGATCATCCATCATGATTTCTGTGCTGCTCAGGTCCTGATATAGAGTTAAGATCACAATCAAGAAACTGTCAAAGGGAGAAATCTAATTTCATAGGAATATTTGATTTTCCATGTTTTTATTTATGCCTGATGTTTTAACATTAACAATTCTGAAAACTAATTTAAACTGGATTGTTAAACAATGCATTAGCTCAGGCTCTTTACCCATTGAGAAATCTTTTATGTTTCTATTTTGTAATTAGGCACATTTTAGATTGGTTTTGGTTTTAACTCTAATCTTCATTATTATTATAAGCCATTTCTGGGAGCTCACCCATGCTGACAATTTAACTCACTCTTTTCTAAGGGGTCTCTGGGCACTACTTTCTTAGTTCTAACAGCTTGTGACTAAACCAGCACTTATACACACTTGAAACGAACACAACTGAAACCACCTCCTCCCGTAAGGTATATTCCTCCCTATGTTCCTGTTTTCTTGATTATATTACTACTCCTGCAGTCATGGAGACTAAAGCTGGCTTAGCATCAGATATGTGGACAGAACAGCAGACACAGGACTAAACAGATACCTGTGCTGGGGGAACAGACAGGTTACTTGAATTTTGTTCCTTCACATGTTGTTTGAATGGCTGAATAAAATAATGGAAATAACTAGCAAAGTCATACAGGACACTCAATACCTGACTATTCTCTTCTTCATAGTTTATTACCAAATCTTATCAATCTTTGCCATCAACCTTAAATTTGCTTTGTCTTTCTAATTTTCAATGAGTCCAATAAAATGTTCAGTTTCCTAGATTCTAGAGAACTCTTAGTAACTTTCTTTCTCTTAACTTCTCCTTTTAAAAGTAACCTTATTATACTATGAAGCATACTTGCTTACTTGAGACTCCAACCTTGAAACTTACATGAACAATTTCCTATTCTTTATCACATTAATGGGCCAAACTAGCATTTAAGACCCTCCATAGCTTAATCCTACCTTGCTGCTCATTATTATCCTGTATTAGCCAGTAACTGTGGCATGTTGCCCTCTATGTGTTTTGCTGTCAATCAAGTCTCTCTCTTAGAGTTAAGATTACATAAGAAAATTTTAGAACAGTGCCCAGCTTGTCCTATTAACTCAGTTTGAGGCATAAGTATGCACAGATAAGGACGCTCACCCATCAACCTGTCTCTCTAGAACCTAAGGCATAAGAGGAACTCTGGTATGTGTTTATAATCTGTATTATTTTCTTATAGCAGATCCAATAAATGGCATAAGCTTCAAGACTCAATAAATGTTTTTTGCTATTATTACAACCAAGAAAGCAGGGTTTTGCCTTTTTTTCTGCCTATATTTGGTTCTACTCACCAAGTTAACAAGGATTGCATATTAGATATTATAAGAAAACAAAGAGTCCTTCCTGTTGCTAAGTTTGGCAATCACAAATTCAGCAATGACAATGATGACAACAACGACAAAAAGAATCAGAACCAAAATGTCCATACAAAATAATATAGAGACCCAATGGAAAGAGATATTGAATATTTATGTAATAAAAGGCTTTATGGAAAGGACAGCATTTGGGATGGACTCAGAGCCAAGTATGCTAGGTCATGTCCATCCTAACACTCTGAAGCTGGGAGCTGGGTCATGAGTTAGAGGCCAGTCTGGCCTGTATAATAAAGCACTATCTCAAAATAAAGAACCAGAAGTGGTGGTCCATACTTTTAATCCTAGAATTAGGAAGACAAAAGATGGGGGAATCTCTGTAAGCTTGAGGCTAGCCTTTTTTTAATAGCAAGTTCTGTGCCAGTCAGAACTATATAGTAAGATGTCATTTCAAGTAAGCTAGCCAGCAAGCAGCTAACAAGTGCACGGTGATGTAAGGTAAACATGGAGACACTCAAAAAAGCTGGCTAAGGTCTCATTTAGCCAGGCTTAGTTCCTCTAACGTGCTAAGGTACGAACCGTCCTCAAACATGTTCCATCTTATATTTCATAACCACATGGAATTGGAATTACAATTTATCAAGTATTTCTGGAACCAACATGATTAAGAGCTATGTCTCATAGGTATTTCTGACTGCCATGTGAAAGGAAGAAAAAAAAGTTTTGGATTGGCCTATTTTTGATACAAATTTCAATCCAGTCAATTCCAAACCCATTCCAGTTTATGAAACAATAAAGAAAATGGATTAACATTGGAATGTATCTATACAATTCAACAAAAGGAAAAGAACAGATGTTGAAAACTAACTCTTGCTTAAATTATCAGGTAAATTAAAAAGGGTTCAAATTACAAAAGACTTTAATCTTAAAAACATGCACCATCCAGTGTGCATGTACTTACTCAGTATAAGGTTCCTTTCATGGAGCTGCTGCCAGAGTACAGCAGACTACTTGCCTAGCACGCACGATACTACTGGGTTTGCTCTCTAACAATGTCCAAAACTAAACAAAGCACCTTCCGCTCAGACTGTGAAGCACTTGTTAAGCAAGCATGAAGACTTGAGTTTGATCCCTAACATCCACATAAGAATTCCAGGCACAGTAGTAGCATATGCCTATAATCTTAGGGCTGGGGCGGTGGAAACAGGAAGAACTCTGGGGCTTGCTGACTAAAATCAGTCTAGCTAAATAGCAAGCTCTAGGTTTAGTGAGAGACCCTGTCTAGAAGAACAAGGCAGAAGATTAAGAAAGACACTCAGTTTAGGTCTCTGACCTCCAGGCAGGTGTACACATGTGCATACGCAAACACGTACACATATAAAATAAAAATCTCCATAAAGCAGTAACTATATATACATATATATGTATACATATATATGCATGCATATACATATTTTTTTTTTCAAGGCAAGGTCTTACTATGTAGCTCTATCTGTCCTGAAACTCACTATGTAGATCAGCTGGCCTGGACTTCACAGATATCCACCTGCCTCTGCCTCCCATAAATTCTTAGATTTTAGGAAATTTTTCTTTACATCTGTTAAAAAGGCTTTACTACTATTGGTTGTATATATACAGAGCAGTCAAAGTTAAACAACTCCCCTCCATGGACACAATCAAATAGAATCCTTCTTTAAAAAATGGTTTTGGGAGATAGAGCCTTTTCTAGATAGGTAGGTTGGTTGGCTTGAAACTTGCAATTCTCCTGTTTCAGCATCCTGGGTGCTAGGATTAAGTGAACACAACTCTGGCATGTCTCAGGTTCATATTCACGTTATGCTTCATACACTGCTCTGTATAATAGGTCTCAGAGCACATGGCTTTCTTCATCAGTCATTCTAATTGTTCAACATCCAAAAGAGTTATGAAAGTTATGATCAACAAGTCAAAAGTAAGCCAGGCATCATTGGCCCATGCCTTTAATCCCAGCACTAGGGAGGCAGAGGCAGGTGAATCTCTGAGTTCAAAGCCAGCCTGATCTACAAAGTGAGTTCTAGGAGAGCTATGGCTAGACAGTGAAAACCCTGTCTCAAACAAGTAAGTCAAAAGTACAGCTTGTTTCATAAAATACTTGAACAAAATACTAATATGGCAGTCTGGTTCTCATCTAATGACAACAAAATGAAACTATCAGAATCAGGAGAGACAAAGAACCCATTTCATAACCATTTGAAAATGCAAACGTATTACACAATGTGTTCAATACAGATTCTTAAATTATAAAGATGCATTAAGTCTAAATAAACACTGGGGAGTTTTACTGAAAGCATTACATTAAAATTTCAAAAATAATCACAGTACTAAATACAACATAACTTTCTACTATGTAAATAAAAGTTCACTCTTGGAAGCCTTGCATCTGACTTTCTTAAGTCTACCCCAGGTCTTTTCAGCTAAAGACACTGTAATAGCCTAAATTTCAGACAATTCCAGAAATGATGTTCAAGAACACTAGAAGCAGAATGATTTCTTAATGGGCATTAGCACATGACTTGGTATCTTATGACCAGCTTGTTAAGGGACCAGCCCCAACTCTCTCTCTCTGGAAACTAACTGCTTGCTCTAAGCATTTCTTAAAGTTTAGCAGGAAAAAACAGGGAAGTCAAAAAGACTGAGACTTCCCACAACAAAAAGGTAAAATACAACACACTGAAATATTTACAGGATCACCTATAAATGCTATCTAGGCTTAAAAAAAGAAAACTGAAGCGGAGCTTTTAAAAGTACAGAGGGAAAACAAAACAACAAAAAACTGTCTTTCCTTTCTGCACAAATACTGAATTACTAAATAATGCTCCTTTTCCTGAACTAAAGGTCGGTCTTCACTCTGACACGTTCCAACTTACTATTAATATTTCTTATTCACAGCGTGCCAATTCAATAGCTCTTTTTTGAACTCGGACAAGGAGGGGGAAAGTACAAAAGTGCCGCATACACTTTCTACATCAAAGGACACTCACACCTCAAAGTTTACTGTCTCAGATTTCAAGGCCAAACACAGTCAACTGGTTTGCCTAAATTACACCCATTAGAGCCGAACACCCCCTGCCCCCATTCTGGTGGGGGCCTCCAAAATACAGTTTGGTAGATCGATTTAACCGCCCTCGTGTCCAGTACTTCTTCAGACACCACGGTTGCCCAACCCAGATTCCTTACACCCCAGACAGCTGCGGCCTTGGGTTCCAAGTTACCAGATGCACCTTGCCTTCCAAACTAGATCGTAGATTTAACACAAGCTCTCCAAAGTCCACGGCCAAAGCTGACAAGATCCAGGGATTAGGGGGCTAGGGGTAAGGACGGTCCCAAGCACCTCCTATCCCATCCCTGGCCAGGCACTCATTCCAAGACGACCTTTCGGCCCCGCACCCCAGCACATTCCGCAGCCCCCGCCCCGGGACAGTCGGTGCCTCCGGTCCAGCCCCACCCCAGGTCCCGAGCGGCTCCCTCTTGCCTCGCGGCAGGTGAGTCCAGGCAGCGGATCCACGGCCCCTAGAGCTGCTCACCTTGCTGAGGACCCCGCAGCGCTCCACAGGCGGCCCGGACTCCGTCTCCGGATCCTCCTCCGAGCCCGACGAGTTCCAGCTCTGGTTATCCGACATGGAGACGCGACAGCCGAGCAGGAGACCGGCCCCCGCTCCGCGAGCTGCGCCAGTGCAGGCGCCTAGTCCCTGGGGTGAAGGGTCGGGGGATGGCACAGCCAAGAGTGCCCGCTCCGGGGAGTGAGGGAACAGGAAGAGGGACGAAGCGCGCCCGCTGCGCCGCCGCCGCCGCGCCTGACACCGAGCGGACCGGGGAAGGAGGACGAGCGGCGAAGAAAGCCTGCCCTTCCAGCCGTCAGCCGCCGTGGCCGTGACCCCTGCGCTGCGCCCGGCGCCGCCACCTGAACTCGGCCCCCTAGATGCCAACCTCAGTCAGGGAGGGAGGAGGGGGAGGAAGACGGGAAGAGCCAAGCCAGCGGCAGAGACCCAGATCCACTCACACCTCCGCTACAGCCGCCATCTTCCTGCCGGGTCCACTATTTACCCTCCCTCCTCTCTCAGCTCCCTCCCCTCCGTCCTCCCATCCTCCCTCCACCCCGCCCCGGGCCCCTCCCGGCGGCTCACGACGCTCCCTACCTCCGGCCCTCCCGGGTGACGACGGGTAGGGAAGGAGGCGGAGCGGGGAGAGGAGAGAGCTGAACAGGGAAGCCGCTGCGCTGCATTCTGGGAAGGCTGGCGCTCTGTCCGCCGCGCAGCCTCCTGGGAGTTGTAGTCGCAAACCTAGGCAACTGGTATGTGTCCCGGGCACGCTGAAGGCTGGTTGCCTAGGGGAACCTTCTGAGGGCAAGTGGGCTTCTTTTGACAGTTGCGTGTCCCTTCCGTCCAGCCTGGCTTCCGATTCTGCCTTGCGTGTTTATGACGAGCCTGCGAACCGGGACGTGAGAACCCTCAGGTGAGGATGTTGGGTTGTGCGACGCTGCTTTCCGGAAAGCCCGGGAACATCTTTGCAACTTGCCTGGGCGAAAATGATAGGGGCTCAGTCGCTTTACTCCGGTTAGGAGTTTGTGATCTCTCCAGTCGCAAACTGAAGAATTTTTTCCTCTCTAAAACCGTCACTGCTAATTCCGAAGGACTACTGTCTATGTCTTCGGAAGTAGACTTAACACTTGACGTTTAGTGCTGTTGAAGAATTCCTTCAGACTATTTTCGCATTGTTAATTTATAGAATTTTTATCTTGTGGAAAGTAATGTTGAGGTTGTCACAGAACAAACAACGTTTAAAGAACTTTTTTAAAAAGGGAAATAAGGATTACATTATATCTTGTAGTTTTCTCTTAGTTGTGAACAAGTATCTCCCTAGAGACCCACGTTAACCATCTTTTTTCTTCCCGGAAGACAGGAAAATTTGGATAGAAACTTTCTATTATTAAGATCAAAACTCGAGTTTTACTTAATAATAAGGAATTAGACAATTGGTAGCTATCAAATTCCTGATAATTTACAACTTTGAAATTCCTTATTAAACTGTAGAATTTCTGCTTGCTACCCAGATGGGAAAATAAGAAATTTTGAGTGTTTGGGCGTGGGGCGGGGAGTTAGGCACAAGAACTAAGAAAAGACAAAAACAAAACAAAACAAAAAAAACCCTGGGAGCAATAGAAGACTCCTGCACTCCACATAATGAAAAATTGGGAGCAATAGAAGAGTCCTGCACTCCACATAATGATAGGAAGTAATCCTGAGAAGTACTTGTGTAGAAGCATTAGCAGAGACATTAAATGCAGTAGAGTCTAAACCTACTGCGAGTCAGATACAAATGATTTTTCCATCGTAAAATCATGACAAGCATACCTGAGAGGCATTCAAATAAATAAAACCTTAAGAGATAAAGATTTTAAGGATACCTTGTAAAAGGTGTGAAAACATAACCCAAAGTTATCGAGAGAGAGAGAGAGAGAATGCAAGCCACTTTGTAAATTACAAGAGTATGCATTTATAATAGTTTGCTTTGCTTACCGAGTCAAATATGATTAAGACCTTCTGATTCTTGTACTAGGTTTTAGAATCACTGCTCTTAAATAAAATGGTTGTAAATATTGAAGAATTCACTTCAATGTAGAATCACAGAAACAACGTTATGTTTAATTTTTAAATAGAACCTTCAATTATTTTTGTGACTCATTTAGGTTGTGAGTAATTGTCACCACTAACACTCCTGCTTACTCAGTTGAAAATGGCTTCCTTATGTTTAGTGTTCATGTATGAGAAATTGCCTTGCTACGTGGGTCTATTGTACTAAAGGCTAAAGTCTTTTAAGTACAGGAAGGTTTTTGTATAGTAATTAGATTACCACATTAGAGATTATGCTTTGCATTGTTACTGTGACTGGAAAGCTGTGCACTGCAATAGGCATGCAGGAATAAAGGGGACAGGCTTTCCTTATTCCATAGTAAAAGCGGTCGCCGTCCAGCTGTCTGTCCCTCATAGGGCCTCTTCTAATCCTTGTGCAGTGTTCCTCGTTTTCATTAGCTTTATTTTTAGACCTTGTATAGCATGGGATTTTCTTTAGTGTATAGAATGAAGTAAGAAATTAATTGTTGGCTTTTGTGTTTTGGTTTTTTTTTTTGCAGCTGGGCATTTTATTGAAGTCTATTCTTTGTTTTTTGGGGGGAGGGGTTGTTATATTGTTGTTTTAGTTGTTTGTTTGTTCAGTGGTTTGGTTTCATTTGGTTTTTTGAGACAGCGTTTCTCTGTGTAACCCTGGGTGTCCTGGAACTTGCTCTGTAGACCAAGCTGGCCTTGAACTCCCAGAGATCCACCTGCCTGTGCCTTTCAAGTACTGTGCAATTAAAGGCATGCACTATCAGCAACCATCCTGAACAGTCTATTCTTCTTACTCTTACACAAATATGCCACCTTTATGACATATACAAACCCCAATGTATAGCCCTGCTACTGGACTTCATTCTTTTCCTTTGATATATTTATATCTATACTGTACTGATTTACTTGCTGTTTGGTTTTATATATACAATGAAGAAATTGTCCCGGTCTTCTTTTTCATTTGGATGTTTTATATTTTCCAAAAGTATCTTACTGAATTAATTGAGAAATTGTGGGAAGACTTGGTGCTGGAAAGATGCTGCTCAAACTTAAGGACCTGAAATTACATCTCCAACATCCATGGAAATGCCAGGCAGGGTGGTACATGTCTGTAATTCCAGAGCTGTCGGGGTGGAGACACGTGGATCCTAGAGCTCGCTAGTCTGCCAGCCCAGCTGAAATGACCCATTCCCAAGCAAGGAGCCCAAGCAAATTTCCACAAGGTGGAAAGCAGTGAAGGAAAATATTCAAGGTTGACCTAGCCTCTACAGTGTCTCTCTGTCTCTTTCTCTGTCTCTCTCTCAAAGTTGACCTAGCCTCTACAGTTTCTCTCTCTCTCTCTCTCTCTCTCTCTCTCTCTCTCTCTCTCTCTCTCACACACACACACACACACACACACACACACACACACCTGTTAGTGAATATGCACATATCCATATGAAAAATGTTCAGTCACTAAAGACACAGATATGTATACAGAAAATAAGTATGAAGATTTGAATTAAGTGAATGCACTTAACTGGTAAAGAAATTACATCCTTACAAGTATTATTTGTGTTAGCCAGACACCTTAAATATGTGATCTCACTTAAAAGTCATGTAAGTAAGCATTGCCGTTCTTATTATCCTATAAAGGATAATAAACTGGAACACCATGAGGCTGAGTAACTTACCCAGTGTCTCATGGCTACTAAGTGGCAGAGGTAAGATTTGAATCTAGGTCTCTTTTATGTCCAAGTCTACATAAACCCTTTTCTGCTTTTTGCACCTAAGTCTTTTTCTTCAAGGCCATATAAATCTTTTTTCTGTGCTTTTTAATACCTCCCTGAGAGAGAGTGTATAAAAATGATTCTATAGATGAATGCCTCCAAGCCACTATATAAGAAAATGTGTTCTCTAGATAAGGTATCCACACCCCAATGCTTTTAATTCAGCCACTGATTTTTAGCATTTCCCCTTTTCCTCATTTACTGCCTTATCTTGCCCAACACCAGTTCTTTAGAGTTCACTATTACCTTCTATTTATAATATTTTAGATGAAGAAACTTAATCACAGAAAGGTTAAAACTTTTTTCAAATGTCAAAGAAAAGATGTATTTGGGGGATTGAGGCCCAAGCATCCAGATTTCAGAGTTCATTCTTATCCCACTTGAGTTTTCCCTCAACTCTTTCTCCTGGTTCTTCCACCTCGCCTCCTTCTAATTGGCAGCACACTGACTAGCAATCCCAAGGCCTTCTCGTGCCTTGTATTCATTCCACTGCCAACATCCAGAAGCCAAAGTCCCTAGAGGTGTAGGAAATAAAAATGCTTGCCATTTTGCTGATCAACAATAGAGAGCGGTGATGGACAGTTCAAAGATGAGTTTTGGGGAACCCAAGTCAGTCCATAACAAAGCCTGTATCTTCCATATTCCTACAATAATCGTTATAATAGAGATGCATTTTGAGTTAAATAATGCCTTCTTAGCTAATCTGGAAATTTAACTGTTCTTTATTAAAATCGTTCCCACCTCTAAAAACTATGACCAGTTAAAAACTGAGGAACCACTATTTTGCAAACTTCAAAGAAAAGCTCTTAACATGTGGACTAGAGGTGGTAATCTCTGAACCGTGGCTGTCTGAAAGCCAAGCTGCCTGGTGCTCAACACCTCTGATCCAGGTACTCAAGAGGCTGTCTAGGGGACTGTGAGTTAGAGGCCACGCCTAGGCTACATACCAAGACCCTCTCTCATTAAACTAAACAAACAAATCTTAAGAAGAGGTGAACTAAATATAACATGTTAATAATATAGCTGTATTGGTAACCATATTTTCATGACTGAAATAATTAGGTGGTGATAGAACTGATCATTCAAGTTTTCTTCTGTATCATTATATATGGAAAACACTCCCACCAATATCTGCATGGGCGGGTGTATGTTTATACTAGGTAAAGTGTCTTAGCACCTCAAGTTCAGTCATGTAAACTAACTTCCAACTTAGGGTTATTAGTGTTCTTGTTTTCTCTACATTGTCTGCTTGGTAACTGAGAGAAGTGAAGATTGTAGCGTTTCTTCTTCCCCCACCCTATTGATGTCTGTTTTTTTATGTTGTAGGGTTTTCTTTGTTTGTTTGTTCTGTTTGGCTGGTTGGTTTGGTTTTTAGTTTTTTTGAGACAATGCTTTACTTACAAGCCAGTCTAGACCTGTTGCCAATCCTCCTGCCTTAGTCTTCCAAATACTGCAATTACAGGTGTGAGCCACCATGGCCACCTCCCCATTCTTCATGTTATGGTGCATAGGTAATAACAATTATTCTGCAACTACTGTCTACCCCAAAAGGATTATATGACACATTCCCATTTAGGTATACTAAAGTGTAAAAAAGATCAATTGTTTCCTTTCTAAGTTTTTGTTGTTGTTTTGCTTTGTTTGTTTTGTGCACTTGGCTGAATCTCTTTGGGAGATAGATTATTGAAAATGTCCTACTGGAATTCCTAATTTACACTGTAATATTGTCCTTCATAGAGCTTGTATTAGATTACACTCCATCGCAGTGTGTCTGAGTTCTCCTGCCTTGCGTCAAGCCAAACGGTTTCCAGTGGAGTGGCTTCAGCAGAGTGGCTCCAGAACTAATTGTAAGGAGATAGTGGTGGACCGTCATGGTTCAGAGTGAACCACACAGGGACAGCAGTCAGACACCTTATTATGGTTCACCAGTTGGGTACTATGATTGCTTTTTTTGTCAAGGCTCTTCTGACCAGAAGAGGCAGTAATACATTTAAATTATTTCCGATACGAAAAAGATTATTTCAGAAATCTCAGAATCCTCAATTGTTTTTTGTGTGTGTGTTTTGGAAACTTAAAATGA